CCCCTGAACAATTCCGTCGTTCCGGTTTTGGGGTGTGACAATGAGTTGCATATACATGCATATATCGAGTATCTCGGCTCACAATCGCTTAAGTTGCTATTAACATTAATTAGGCTCAAATTCTCTTAAGTTTCTATTGTCATTGCCTCCTCTTTTGACTATCTAGGCTCACAATCGCTTAATTTGCTATTGAAATTAGGCTCACAATCGCTTAAGTTGCTATTGCCATCAACTTACCCTTGTCTATCAACATAAAGTTGTTTCGTACGAATCTTGGCCTTCCACGGGAAGTGGGAATGCCTCAAACCCCCTTACATATCATGTTAACATATAACATATATTATTACATCAATACTCTAACAAGTCTATCAGTCTTATAACAAATCAAAGTCTAATAACCTACTATAACCTATCCTGTTCCAAATGACATAGGCACGTAGAGATTATACTATCGGCTCTACTCTACTAGCTTTCATATCCTAACATTCATGGATATATGTTTTAATATGTAGTATGGTGACGTAATTCACCTGGACAATTACTCAGATGATTAACAGCTACACAGATAATCCAATTAGCGAGCAATACACCTAACAAGTATTAACCTATAATACTATAGCTTATGATTTCCTATGATAGTATAGTAATGAAGGTTAGATCTTTAACTAATCTCAATGAATACTTAGAGTTCTATTAAATAAAGATTAGCCAGGTAGGACAGTTAGGAGGCAAGATTAGCCAGGTAGGACAGTTAGGAGGCAGGGCCATATTGGTATATAGCCTTTCTGAAATCCAACAACTAGTCCAACATGACCATTTTAGACACCTCTCCTACAAGTAGATAAATCAGTATTATAACTAGAATCATTAATAAATTTTATTTTGTATTCATAACAATGATTGTGAATATAAAAACTATAAGTTATAGTTGAAGCATAACAAGTGTAACTTAACTTATAGAGTTTCTAGTGAAAAGTTGGGAACATTGCAGGCAAAACTCCGACCCAAAAGCGTCTAATTTCCCAGATCCTAGGCACTACAGATCCGTGCTAAAGTATCCCAAGAATCCATAAAATTCAGACCAGATTGTGAAAAAAAATTCTCCAGAAGAATGGAAAGAAGAGGTGTGAGAAAATAAGGCTTCAAATTCCCTTATTTATAGGGTTTTATGGCATATGCCGCATGCTTATCTTGAGACACCATGCTCTTTTTGGCTACGCAGATCCTACCGAATTGTTCCACATGTTGACCATGTGTTGATCCACATCACCCTTTCTAGAAGCTGCCCATCGCGCACCTTTGCATGTTGACTGTATTTTCAATTTTTCTAAAGAGCTCTAAGAGCTCTATTTTTTACCTTCTTTATATTGACGTATACTACACCTTTCATTTAGACTTCGTCAGATAATTCTCAGTCTATTTTGAAAGCTATATTTTTAACAAGCTTAGACTGTTAAAGTCCGTATAAAAGTCATAACTCTTCCATACGACATCTGTTCTTGACTATACTTATATCGACAGAATTCTATTCATGAGATCTTCAACTCTCGTTTTCATTGTTTTGGCTAAAACTTAATTGATCCTTATTTCGATTTTAGTGTCGCGCACTGTTGTATCGAAATTTCAAAAAATCATAACTTCCTCATACGAAGTCAGATTTAGGTGCCCTCTATATGCACGATCTTGCTTTTACGACTACCCTGACTATCATTTAGATTACTAAAGCTAATAAGCAATCTATCTCCGATTCTAATTTTACGACGGATTTTGCCGCATAAAGCTCAACACAAAACATCGAACAATCATAACTTCTCCAAACAAAGTTAGATTCAAGCGTTCTATATATCTTTGAAATTCCTATTGACCTCTATTACATATTTATGACAATTAATTTGGCTAAAAAGTAACATACTTCTACTTTGAATTTTATAAAAAAGAAACGTTTATATTAAATCCTACTAAAGGGTAAAAACGGGGTGTTACAGTCTAAAATCCTAATTGGATAATTATTTTATTGCTAGTTAATTATATATAAGAATTGACTTTGAAATCTTTACATTTAAATCCTTTTAGTTATTCAAGTTTTCATTAACTTATTAATCACTAGTAAATTTACTAACTAGATCTTCAATAAACACTCATGTCAAAAATTGCTTAAATATGTGATTACATGTAATACAAAAGGACCCTTTTATTAATAGCAATCTCATAATAGCGACACTAAGCGATGTTAATGATGAATAAATAATAGTAAGTAATTAAAACTAAGAATAAAGAATAGTAATTACAGTTATGAATCAAGAGAAAAATAATACTTAACATACTTTAGAAAAGAATAACTGTTGTATCTAGTGAAATGAAATATAAAATATGTCATGTGATGATAACCCGGATGATTGACCTCTTAGGGGATTTGTATTTGATTTTCATTGTGACGTTGTACATATGATAGGCTCACGAAGCATTTAGTGACACTTGTTTCTTGATATATTTACCTTACGATGGTTTAAGTGCCATAGGAGATTGCATGTGAGTTTGGGATGTTTTTAGGTGTTTTATCTTTATTATGTTTATTTTTAGTAGGCGATACCTCGTTGGAACGTATAATGTTTACTTTGTTAATGATCCTTTAAACCCTTACATTTTACATTTTGAATAATGTGTTTTGGAATTTTTAATTTTATTACGAAGGTGACGTTGTGGTTTTAATGAAGTTTTTCTTTCAAATAAAAATTATTTATAGACTTCCGCATGTATTATGTCAAAAATTTTGAGAAATATTAACGATGTAAGTTTGTGTAAAAATCACGACGTTACAACTAGCTGGTTTATAAAAATTGGCTAAACTTCATACTGTGACAATCCAACTTTAGTACTTTTGTAGTCGTGGGCATCCATAATGTTTGTTCAAACACTAAAAAACACTCTTTTGCGACTTCCAAGAAAGAATAATTAAATAATTAATATATAGGATTGTGTTAAACTAAAGCCTTTCAATATGTAGATAGCTTAATCAATGATCATAATGAATTTCGTGAAACTTGGTTATAGACTGAAGGAAAGGATTCCATGAGTAAAAAGAGATGAAAATAATAAAATCAAATAGAAACATTAAGTGGTTACACATATTTTGTTTTATAGTACTCAATAGATGAGGTAACTGGATTTGGTTCTACATCTTTAGTTGCTTTAAAATGTGAAAGTTTGTGTCGATCGAATACAATTGAAGTATATTTAACAAAGAACAAACAAACTAAGCCAAATAAACAACAGAAAAAGTAAAGAAAACGAATTAATCACAAAGATGTCTTTCACCATGAAAGGGATTGTTCTCACCAAGAGAACGAATGTCACAAATGTGGTCACCAAGACATTTACGTTAGGGTTTCACCCTAATGCTGAATATATACTAAACTATACTAGTATATCCCTTCAATCAAGGGGTTGTATCTAACATATAATAAGAACATAACCTTATTACCAAGATACCAAATCTGCTATATATATATATATATATATATATATATATATATATATATATGTTATGTAATCTTTGTATATTAGGCAGTTATATATATATATATATATATATATATATATATATATATATATATATATATATAACTGCCTAATATACAAAGATTACATAACATCACTATCTAGACGCTGATGCTGATAAGGTCTTGAGGCGCTGGTACTAGTGCTGATGTTGACGCTAGTGTTGGTGGTCATCATGTAAAGTGTTTGACTCATCAGATTATAAGGTGTGACCTTACAATCTTTCCTATCTGATGATGTCAAAACTAATATTCCTCAGAGGAGGCGTCAAAAGAACCATTGTAGAATTTATCAACTTCTTTCAAGATTTCATGTTTTACCCACCTGAATTCATCAATTTGAAGATCTTCTAATTTTTCTATCCTCAAGATAAATGAGCACATGATATCATCTTTCAAGTTCTACATGACGAATTCCCTCCATGAGAAGATGAAATAAATGCTCAGTGGGTGCAGCGGGAAGATTATCAGTGTGTTGAAAACACATGTTGTTTTGACTATCAAGATAGAAAATACCATGTTCTGGTTCTCAAATGAACATGTGCTGAACTGGTTCAACACCTACTGTTAGCATGTTGTTGTTGTAGCGAGTTCCATATGAAAGAAAAAACATAGTATACTTGGACATTTTGGGGGTGCCTGTTCTTCCTGAAGTGGATGGTTTAGATGGACCAACTGATGACATAAGATTCAGCTGTTTGACTTTGTTAAGAAGCTGCTTAATTGCTAATTCAGCTCCTGAGCATGAATACCTTTATGTTTGTTAATAATTTCACTCGCTGTAGCCAAATTTTACTAGCTCACGAGCAAGCATAACCTCAATGTATTCATTCTTAGTCTTCATTATAACCAAGTGAAGCTTCAATGACTTGTTCTTTGGTTTAGTGCAGCTTACCCTTATGATGGGGTTCCTTGAGGAATCTCCCTCTCATAATATTAATAGGGGTAAACAACACCCAAAGGAACAACAATTTGTTCCATAAACCGCAAGTCGAGAAACCCTTCATAGACATCCATTTTAGACTGACCCCAGTGTCTGAGATAGCATCTGGATAAGCTTACATCGTTTGTTGCATCAGCATATGGAATGTTGCTCTCTTACTCAGCTAAATCGATTGCCTTTTGATTATCATCCCTTCCTTATTCAAGCATTTCAGGAAGAGATGAAGTTGTTGCAGTTACCATTTGTTGATCATTGCTCCCTTGACTATTCTCCCCCTTTTTGGCATCATAAGTTTGGGGAGGGGATCCAGGAGGTGGTGAAGGAGTGTGAGGAGGGGGATGAGATAGTGGTGGAGGAGATAGGGTGGATTTGATGACGAAGGTGGAGGATTATAAATCCTTTTCCACAATAGTTAATCACTCTCCTAGATATTGATTTAAGTGCACCAATAAAGAAAGTTGAGAGAGCACAGTAGTTTGAAAGTTGGAGCTGGATTCCCCCTAATCAAATGAAGCAATCTGAAGAGGTGTTGGCATAGGAGGAAAAGTTGTAGCTTGAAGAGAAGGAGACAATGATCTTGGAGAAATTACATCTTGGATTAGTGGATCAACAATTTCCACTTGAGATGCGGTTGATCCATGTTGTACAATATCATCTGCAGAGGGAGTGGATGAAGAAGTAGATGAGAATCGAATGTGCTTCTTCAGTCTTAGAAGATAATTCAATCCCTGAAAAGAGGCTTCTCCCTTATTAGTGGCAAGTTCATCTTCTTCATCATCAACTTCTTCTTCATCATTAGCGTCTTCTTAATCATCAACGCCTTCATAATTATCTTCATCATCATCCTCTTCTTCAGAGTCAGATGATTCAATAGTGTAGGGATTTGCAATCCAATTTGATTTTCTCTCCGTAATATGCATATCACCAACAGAAGGAGCAACGATGATGATTTTTGAGGAGAAGGCTGGGATTGGAATGATGTGTTCATGTTTAATGTTATAACCGTCTTCATCACAAGCCAAAATCAGTCCAAGAAAACATGGATAAGGAACATACATCGACTTCCTGTTCCCAGTGATACAATCAATCAACTGATCAAGGAAGAGTTTAGAAAAATCCAATCTTTTGTTTCAAACCATGGAATACAAAATTATTTGCTCAAAATGATTCAATTGATCCAAGCTTTGAGTCTTGTGTCCAAGGCATTTATCAAGTACCCTTGATAGGTACTTCCATCCTACACCAAAACACCGATGAAAAGTGTATTTGGATGGATCACGAGAAGTGGCCTAGAGAGAAAAGTTATACCCTAATATTCCACAAATGGACTTGCATTTTTCTTTTGAAGGAATTTCATAATAGTTTTTTGATTAACGTAGATGAAGATTATCTCGAAAATATTCCACAACAATAGTAAACCTGGATTCACCATCTCCAATGGTACTACTAATGGTTTGAGCACTAGAATCAACAAAGCATGAATAATATAACTCACATACTTGCTTTGGGTAGAATGGGTTTGGGAAGTCGCAGAAAGCATATAGAAGAGGGCAACTTTTGACATAGTTGAAGAAGTCTTCAATTCCTAAGTTCATGAACTGTTTCAAGATAACACTAGAGAATGCTACATCGTTTGCTTCATGAAAATGGGAGAATCAGGGGGCATGATGGCCTTTGATGACATTGAAGTTAGGAAAAAACTCGAACAAAGCCTTTGACCTGATGAGAGCGTGAGGAAGATGATGGTTTAGAGAGCCTTCTTTGAGATAGAAAATCAATTGTTTGGATGAATTGTGAAAGTGACCTAGGAGAGAATTTTCCCAATTTATCCACAAATTTTCTTCCCTTTTACAAAACTAATGATTGAAGAGATAGGTGACATAAAAATATCGTATCCCAAGATATTGATAAAGCTTTTAATCGTCATCCAAAAGTTACTATTGGGATTAGGAAGTTATATCAGTGAGACATGGCATCAGTTGCAGTAGTAATCAGCGGAAGCAATCAACATAACAGAGTGGCAACTGATAATCAAGTAAGTTTATGTTGTCTCCTGATAGTATGGGTTAAAACTACCATTCACTAACATAGTATGACGAGATTTCATCAACATGTGGTTGCATACGCTAAATCATTAATCACTTTTATTAGAAGAAAATGGCAATAGTGGAATGATTCATGTGATAAGCTATGGTGTTTAGCTTAACCATTGGCACACATTTTTGAAACTCTCATCAATGTATGATACATTATGCTAAAATCATAAAGCTTTAAAGAAGAATGTAAGGACAAGAAAGGGTTGATGTGCGTGATAGTCTATGATACGTAGATTAACCATTGGCACAGAGTTCCAAACTTTTATCAGTGTGTGGTATATAACAATAAATCGTAAAGTTTTATTGAGAAGAATTAAGGAGAGAATAGAGTGTTTCATTCATGTTGAGGTGGAACCAGCGTGAATCAAAAACAATTTTAACTCATCAACAAGAAGTGTTTCAACTTCAATATCATAGAGTTGAGTTGTAGTTTAGAACTTTTAAGGTCACCATAAATTTGTTCAATGGTACCATGTCATACCTCCGACTAGGAGGTCAAGGACATGAATAACCCTTTGTTATTTAAGGACCAGACAAGTATGTGTTACTTTGATGACTATGCAATCAATATAAGCCACGGGGTTCTGCTCAAAGTTTCAACAGAACATGACTCTTGATGGATACGACAAGCATGCTTCGAGGGACGGAGTTAGGTAAGAGATGATTAACAAAAAAATAAACACCCAAGCCTTTCTATAATTATCTGATTTGGACCAGACAATCTCTTTTTGAAAGTTTAGATGTCTCTAGACAATCAGTGGGAGGCGGCGACTTAATGTCATCTCAACAGATGGTCTTGCTCATGAGATAGTTAGAGAGATTTAGGCACATACACCATTATGCTTCTAAGGACAATGATTTGTCAATAGTTACATACTTGGCTTATGAAATGCCACCGTCAAATAGTTTAAAATGGTACAAGACAAAATAATAAATAATATAAGAATACAAACAAAAAAGTTAGTCAACCAAGGAATATTATAAAAGCAATATTTGTGAAGTTTTTTCAGAAATAAGATAAAGACCCGATTCATCAAATTTTTTGAATTGAATTGAAAAGGCATATGCGAACTTCCTTTTTCTGAGAAATCTATCCCTCAACACTTTCTATAAAAGAGTGAGAAAAAAAAGATCAAATATATCAAACTAAAACACAATTCATAGAACCAAAGAGAAAAAAATGCCATTTATCATCGAAGTATTGCAGATTGATTCCAATCTTCATGTTCACCAAGAACAAGAGAATAACATGAACCAATCTTTGTAACCAACGAGTTAAAATGATCCAATCTTTGTAACCTTCGAGTTATAAGAGTTACCAAGACAAAACTCGAAGGTTCCACTCGTTGTGATTCATGATAGAAACAATGAGGAGAGTTGTCTTGTTGAAGAGGTCTTTGGATCTCAGATGGGAATCGGTGTACTAGTGACAACGTCTATGGAAATTAGACGTGCTATGTCACCTAGCTTTCCTTCATCCCACTGTAACCGAAATATGATGTCCAGAAGGAAGATATATGTGCCCAGAAGAACAATTTTAGACACAATTCTCTCCTATCTGTCCTCATCGACATGATACTTCATGTCAATCAGCTTGAGCATCAGTGGCATGGAGAGAGCAATTAGCATTGAAGAAAATACGTAGAGCTAGCTTTAACTATCTCTATTATGAAGATGCTGCACCGAAGGAATGATACATCGATCTTTTTCCAGAGAAAAAAATAAGTTAAGATCAATGTTGAGATGAAGACATAAGATCATAAGATATAGAAGGTGAGAGAGAAGAACGTACATAGGCAATGTTAGTAGCAAAATATACAACGTATACTCCTCTGGTAGAATAAAAGTAAAAAATATCATAGAAAATTAAAATTTTAGCATCTTATGTTCAAAAGTTTTAAGGTAGTGAAGCATAATGTTAAAAACATAAAATAACATTGTCTAAACAAATAAAATCAAAGCATATAAATGTTGTTGTCCCTGAGTGTAGTAAGCACAATTTTGTTCTTCGAGTCAAAAAAGTTTCCTTCATTGCATTCAAATAGAAACTTGTAACCCGCATCACAAAATTGACTGATGGAGATAAGATTGCCTTTTAGACCCTTGACATAGAACACATTCTTTAGCTTGAATTCCCTACACTTAAATGTTCCAATGCCCATGACATATCCTTCACAATTTTCACAAAAAACCACCATCAGACCATCTTTCTCCATAAAATCTGATAAGAGGGATTTGAGACCAGTTATGTGTCTAGAGCATTTACTGCCAAGGAAGCATGTATGTTCTGAATTCTAACTTGACTCTTGGACAGCTTGAGAGATATCAACATCACACATGTTGTTATCACCATTAGGGGTATCATTGATAAGAGCCATAAGTGATGGGTTTTGAACATTCTAACACCCCTAAGTGTACATGCAACCCTAGAAAACCTTGGATCTATGTTTGTCTAAAATACAAGCAAAATTTGATTTCCAAGGTTCATAATCCTAGCTAGCATACATGGGGAACTTTTAATATAAAAGATGGCTAGAATTACATACCTTGTAGTAGATTTGATTCCTTGAAAAACTTGAGAGCCTAGCACCCCAAGTGTGATGCCTCAAATGTTTCACACAACCACAAATGTTTTGGAATAACTTTGAGAGAATGTATAACACTTGTAAAACTCGGTTTGGCCTCTCTTGTGCTTAGTGTAGCCGATTTTGGTGAGTATCATGTTCTTTATATAGTGTGTCACATAGGGTTACACCATGTAAACCCTAATGTGACATGACTCTTCATTTCCATGACCCATGGGTTTGTAACTCCCATGGAGCATCCTATGGGTTTAACCCAACTTGATAATCCATGGAGCCTTTAGCCGACTATACAAGTTATGGACGATTTACATAATCAACCGATATATTTAATTAGTCATCTTTTGATCACTTAATTAATTCCAAATTAATTCTTGATCAATACTTATTAAATAATACTATTAATATATTAAAACTTGTAATATATTAATAAACCACAAATGTTATTTCTCTCATTTAGTCTATCCAAATGAATGATGCCATGCAACCCAAATGGACCATGCGGGGTCGGGTCAAGTACATACCAAATATAGTTATGGACTTAGACACCTTATCCAACAATAAGAACCTTAACATTTAGCCATTCATCCTCGTATGTATCCTCATCTTCCACCCATTCTTCACGATCCTCTTTTTTTTGCTAGGAAGGCTTTCGGCGGAGAGATATTCTCCTTCTTCATATGAGCCAACAACTTCTTGTACAAGACTTCATAACTCTCCGGGCTTTGAGCCTTTTTCTTCTTTTTTCAGTCCCAGGAAAAATGGTAAGGTCTTCCACAGTTAAATAGTTACCTAAGTTTCTTTTCTCTGATGTAGATCTCCTCGCCAATCTTTCCTACATTAAGCTGAGCTCTCCAGACTCCATTTGATATGCTTTCTTCGTAATGTTTGACAATAAGTGCAGCACTGGCAATAAGTTCATCATAAATTTCTTCGCTACTTGCTTCACCCTAATAAGAGTCATCTGACTCGCTGATGAGATCCGTTGCCTCGTTCTAGAAACCAAAGCTACAAACATTTCTTTGCTTGAGTCCATCATGATGTCTTTACAAAGAGCTTTGGTATCTTTGTAATTTCTTAGATTTCAAAAAAAGGAGTTGAGATCCATGATATTAATCTTCTCACTATTTTTAAGAACATTAACGCGATGTTCCAAACTTTTCCAAGGGAATCCAGAAACTTCAGAACCAACTGAGAAGAATGTTTGACAATTCCCAACCTACGCATATCTTTTACCAAAAAGTTAAAAGTATTAAAGGCTTGGGTTAAAGACTCACCTTGTGGAGCAAAGAAATGCCCGTATGTTAGATTGAGGTAGTTGATGGTTGTGACTTGAACTTCTATAGTCCCTTCACAAGCCACCATTAGCGTATACATCATCTCTTTAGCTAATTTACAGTTCTTAACTAAATGATACACATGGCAAGGAAGAGAATTTCCTATGGCTGCCCTACCTTTCACATCCAGAGTCATCAATTTCTTGTCATCATCGTCATAAATATTCTCTTACTTTTGCTTCAAGGGACTGATGAAAGCATTGTTAACCATAGGGTTATAAATAGGAGTGTGAGGACCCTTTTCAATAATCTTATGCATCTAATAGTCCATGGTTTCAAGAGCAACTATAGCCCTAGTTTTCCACATGATGAAGTTGTGCTCATTGAAATGAGGAATATTGTTGAGAGCAGAAGATTTGGGATTATAGAAGGTCGACATGATAGCTTGACTGTATCAAAAACTTACTCTAATACCACTTGAAGGTTTGTGTCGATTGGATAAACTTCAAGTATAATTAACAAAGAGCAAAGTAACTAAGCCAAATAAAGAACATAAAGAGTAAAGAACACAAATTAATCACAAATATGTCTTTCACCAAGGAAGGAATTGTTCTCACTAAGAGAACGAATGTTACAAAGA